TAACTTTTTTTTATCTGGCGTCTCGTCTACAGTCACTCTCTCACAGACGCGCCGTCGCCTCTCTCTGTCTTTTCTACAAATACTTTCATGGTAATTGCTCCGATGAGCTGCTTTCACTGGTTCCCAAACTCCATGAATTCAAGCGTCCTACGAGGCTGGCATCCCGCTCCCACCCTTACACTGTAGAAACTTTTAAATGTAGCCGTCTCTTCTACTCCAATATCTTCATACCTCGCACCTCTCGCCTGTGGAACACCCTTCCCTATTACTGTTTCCCTGAGAGCTATAATCTCCAACTATTCAAATGTAATGTCAATCGACATCTCCAGTTACCTTGATCTATCCACTATCCCTCTCCTCATCCTTTCTTCTATCACTCCTATCTGCTCTTGCTCCAAATCTTCTGCAACCCCCTGCATCCTAGTGGCTTCACGCCTTGCTCGGGGCGTAATGCTTAAGAAAAAAATTTACTAAATCTCGTTCCCTAAAATTGAACCTAATCTGATAAAAGCACAAAATGAATAAAAGAGGAATAATGCTTCATACTTGGCTTTAAATTTGAAATATGTCGCCGAAGAAATGGTTTTCTTGAAATGTACCTGAATTTAATCTCGTACGAACACAAAATTTGATTTCGTGAAAAAAAAGAAATAATTTCTTTTAATTTTAGACAATTCGCGTAAAAATTGATTTTGGGCAGAGACGTTAACGAAATTGTTTCTATGACACAATATACTCCAGCTTTTATTACTCGGAAATAAATTTGGGAATAATCGGAATTAATTGCGAAATCCAGCAAAGGTCATGCATGAAATAAAAATAATTGTTTGTAGGAAATTAAGGACCTACGTACATCAAATTGTCTTTAAATTACGTGGCAGCAGAAAAAAAATTTTACGTGATTTTTTCGACGAATTTTTTTTCTTTTTTGTACGATAACTGTTTTTATAACTCGGAAATAAATTTGGGAATAATCGAAATTAATTGCGAAATCCAGCGAAGGACACACATGAAATAAAAATAATAGTTTTTAGGAAAGTAAGGACCTATGTACATCAAATTGTCTTTAAATAAATAAAAAAAATTTTACGTGATTTTTTCGACGAATTTTTTTTTCTTTTTTGTACGATAACACTTTTTATAACTCGCAAATAAATTTGGGAATAATCAAAATTAATTGCGAAATCCAACGAAGATCACACATGAAATACAAATAATTGTTTGTAGGAAAGTAAGGACCTACGTACATCAAATTGTCTTTAAATTAAGTGGCGGCAGTGAAATTATCATTGAACTTTTAAAAGGTAATCTTAAATATTAATGCAATACTTAAATGCAGGGATTAATTTTGAGTTGTTTTGTAGTTTATCGTTGCCTATTGCATCTACTCCTTTCTACCTATTTTGATGACGGCTCAATCAAATGGCCTCCGCAGGAGCTAGCTTAAATGACACCCACAAGGGCGACTTTTAAGCGAGTTACCAATATATCAGAAGCGTTTTAAATTCTCCGGGTTTATTTTCCTTTTAAAAAATGTTTGTTGCTTAAATATTGTGTCACTAGTATTTTCACTATTTTAGTATTTTAAATAGTTAACCCTCAATCTGGGGTCAAAGCACTATGAAAGTATAAAAATAGATTTTATAGTAAAAATAGCAACGATATATTTTTGAAAGAAAAAAAAAACTTACCATCAATACAGTTAAAAATATTACCAACAATATATTCGACTCTATAATCACTCTTTAAAAAAATATGTCAGTGGAACGTGATCTACAAACTGATTGCTTACAAAGAATACATATTCTATTCATATGAATCTATCCGAGAAATCTTCATTATTTACATTATTCGGACTATTGTCCTAATATTTGTCGCCATATTTATTACAACTTTTCGGCCGTTGTACGCTTCGGCCTTCTTCAGGTGGTTGGAATGTCGAACTGAACCATTTATTTCGCTCACTGGGGTAGACTGTTCTAGTTGCACGTGCCATGTTTAATGGGTGTCAGTTATTAGTTATCTCCTGTTAATTTCTCTCTCCGAGTTCTCCACCGCCTTAACCAGGTATTGAACTCACACTCTTTGGGTCCTGTCACTGGATCTAACTAACGCCTTTATCCACTGTGCCATGTGTCCTGAAGAAGGCCGGAGCGTACAATGACCGAAACGTTGCAATAAATATGGAACTCTGAAAGTTCTCTGAAAGTGGCATAGTGGATAAAGGCTTTAGCTAGATCCAGTCACAGGACCCAAGGAGTGTGAGTTCAATACCTGGTTAAGGCAGTGGAGAACTTAAGGGGAGATAACTGATAACTGACATCCATTAAACATGGCACGTGGAACTAGAACAGCCTACCCCAGTGAGCAAAATAAAGGGTTCAGTTCGACATTCCAACCACCTGAAGAAGGCCGGAGCGTACAACGGCGGAAACGTTGTGATAAATATGGCGATAAAGATGAAGACAATAGTCCGAATAATGTTAATAATGTACATAATACCTCATCTCAGAAATATAGACAGATACCTAGAAATCTTGTCGGCATTAAATAACCCATTGAGGTGTTGATATGACGTAAAACCAAATAAACTAAGCGACGATGTTCAGTACTCGTTTCTTTGTATCTAAGAACATTTTCACTTGTCTTCATATCTCTGTGTCGCACTTACCTACATATGTTAATATACTACATCGATTTCTGTACCTACATGAGATGATCATTAAAAACGTTTTTTTTTTTAAAGAGGTGGGGTTATTAGGATATTACAAAAGAAGTAAATTGTATTTTCTAGTCAGGGAGAAAATTGTTCTTTATATACAAATTGTTCACACAATGCTAGGTGCAAGAGCCACTCAAGGTAGGGAGTTACTGAATGAAGTTATATGAACCCAAGACGGGAAGAAGTTCAGTTTATGTGGGTAAGATAACGGTTAATCCTAGACTTGAAAAGTTTGCAGTGATCGGTGGAGCATACTTTCGGGAGTTTTTTTTTCTCCACAAAGAAGCACTTCTTCGGAAGAAGTTGTCCGAATAGAACTTCTTTCTTAGTAATGGAATATGAAAGGAATGTGGATGATGCATTCCTGTGTAAGTGACATGGTGTGTCTTAGCTGTCGAACTCTGAACTGGTGAAAGTAATGAATGTAGCTCGTCAGAACAGTTGCCATATAAATAGCGATAGAGTAACGGGACGCTTACGACGTTTCGATTGTGGGAAAGTGGTTGTAGGATTGAAAATAATTCATCCCCCCGCAAGTCCGAGTCGACACTTTTGAGCTCTATCGACTGGAAAGTGGAGAATGGGCAACTCTGGCAAAAATATGTCAGAAGTACTCAATTTTTGGTCTGATCTGGCTTTTGTAAAAGCAGAGTACAGCTAGAAGAGTCAGGCTCTTTCTGAAGCATCACGAGGAACCTAGTCCTGGGTATGACGATAAACTACATCCGGTAGCAAGGCCGCTGATCAGGAGATTGGTGGTTTTGAGGAGCGTAAAACCACCTCTTAATTACTGTTGTTTCCAGGCCCACCCTGACCCGTAGTGGTAGCACCTTGTAGGGTCCCAGTTATGGGCAAATAGTGAACCTCCAAACATAAAAAAAATTATAAAAGTAGAAAAATAGATTTTTATAGTAAAAAAAAAAAAACTGATAAAATTTTAAAGCAAAATGACCAGTCATAGATTTTATATTAAAATATACCAACCATAGATTTAATAGTAGAATTACCAACAATACATTTTATACCAAAAGGACCAACAATACATTTTATCTGTAGTTGAAGGCATACAGTTGCGTTCAAGATATATTTCAACATATTTCGACTTCGGCATAAACCCATCGAGGTTGATATGCCAACCAACACAAGGAACCGACAATTTTGCCAAAAATCTTTTGCGATGGGTCATATATACGATTCCATTTGAGGTTTGATGGGAACGTGTCTTAATAGACATTAATGGCAAGGAATACTACCTGAGAGAATAACTATGATAGCGGGAAAATCCGGGTCTTCTCTTTAATGGTTACTAGTTTCGTTTTGGAAAATCTGTCTGTAGTATGATTCCAAGAAATTTCTTTATTAGAAACTGGGCACAAATGAACACAATTTGTCTGTCTGTTGATACAATGGATAACTGATCTGTTTGGAACAAGGAATACTGGGTCTTCTATTCTGTTTGGGGGAATTGAAAAGTCATTATTACGAATTTCTGAAATCTGGAGAAATTCTTAGAGCATAATGTTACAGCAGGCTTTTCTCATAACATATTGGAATAGGAAAATATTTTTTCTGGTCAAAAGTGGATAGGGTTCGAACCTTGGTGTGCTCAGATCAAAGATTAAGTGTTCCACTAATAGCTGAAGGACTGGATATGACTAGTGAAACAATATGGCAGTTTCTGACAGGGAATTTGGAAATAAGAGTTTGCAAGTTGCTGGCTAAGAAATTCGTTTAAAAAAAATAAAAATGAATAAAGTAGCGAATCAATCTACTTTATTCACCAAAATTAGCTCAGTGACTTTTGGCTATTTCCAAAATTGAGAAATCCATTGAAAATATAATGATTTTCTGACGTCCTTGGCATCTATTAACACGTGACTATAGGTATTCTGGAAAACGAGTTCCAAGAATGTTTCCAGCAATGGCATCACAAGGTGCATAGCTTCAAAAGGGAAGGACACAGACTGTTATAGCATCCAATAGTGACCACGCATACAAATTTGATTTCCAGGAATTACATTTTGATACCTCATAAATATGTAAAAACACAACGCTTAACAAAATTTACGAATAATTTCGTACCATGCTTTAAATTTCAAGACTGAAATATTTAGATTCTAAAATTTTTGGAAATAATTTAGTGATAAAAGCCTTACGAACTCGTAGCAGTGGGGGCGGAGAAAAAGTGAATTCCTACCTTTCCCAAGTGAATACAACAAACCTGACTAGAACTCGGCTCTTAATTAACAATTCCATTACATCACCCCCACATCCAAGTTGACAACAACTGGTATTCCCAAGCGATCACCCATCGAGGTACTGACCAGGCTCGACGTTGCGTAACTTCCATGATCGTACAAGAACTGATGTTTCAACGTGATGTTATCGTAAGCCCATGATAAAATTAGCATTAATGCTACAAGTCTGTGTAATAATGGTAAAATATCAAATGTGGCGGCGCTGTGTGTTCGGGTGAAAATAAGGAATAAATTTATATAGTTAAATTAATTAATTTGCAACTTCCAATCAACCCTGTTTACTAACAGCCGTAGACCGACGGTCTGAGCCATTGCGCTGAAAAGTAACTGAAAATAGGGTAAAATAAAATACTCAGAAACTAACACTGATTGACAATGCTTTATCTAATAATAATAAGAAGAATTAATTGATTTTATATTTGTCATTATAAAAATATAACGAGAAGGAATTAATAATTAGTTGTAACAATTCATTAATTTACCTTTCTATTCGTGTGTGTCTGCCATCTTTTTTTATTTTCAACCGCTAAAACAAATGGTACTGCTGCTTTTTCAGCGTGAATAGCCAATTTCCATGACGACAAACGCAACAGTGCCCACTAGAAGCGAAACGTTTCCTAGACGCCATCCAATCACCCCCACCAACCCATGGCCGCCCACATCATAACTGACAGTTCTATTTCCTGCACATTACAGACTTGGACACTGAATGAAGAATCGTTCAATTCCAGAAATTGAAATTGTCTGCAAATTGCGAAAATGCAGCGGCCCGCCAAGAGAGAAGCAAGAAGAACGTGATTTAATCATTCGTCGATTGAGACTTGTTGAGTCTGACGATACATAGAAAAAGAAAGAGGAAAGGGGGATCAGCAGGCGGAGGAGAGTTAGATGAAGGAAGAAGAGAGGGAGAAATTACAACGAAGAGGAGGAAGCCTTTAGTTGGCTTTATGGACTGGAGTTTAGATGTCCAAGGTCAGAAAAGAGATCGATGAATAAGGGCTTTTGAATGATAAGAAAAAAGTGAAGAAATATGTGTGCGCTGAAAGAAATAAATAAAGAAGAGACCAAGAGAAACAAGACGAAAGAAAGAAAGAGAACAAGATGAAAGAAAGGAAGAAAGAAAGAGAAACAAGACGAAAGAAAGAAAGAAAGAAAGAAAGAAAGAAAGAAAGAAACAAAGAGAAACAAGATGAAAGAAAGAAAGAGACCAAGAGAAACAAGAAGAAAGAAAGAAAGAGACCAGGAGGAACAAGACAAAAAAAAAGGAACAAGACGAAAGAAAGAGGAACAAGTTGAAAGAAAGAAAGAAAAAAAGAAAGAAAGAAAGAAAGAGAAACAAGACGAAAGAAAGAAAGAAAGAAACCAAGAGAAACAAGATGAAAGAAAGAAAGAAAGAAAGAGACCAAGAGAAACAAGATGAAAGAAAAAGAAAGAGACCAAGAGAAACAAGACGAAAGAAAGAAAGAGACCAACAGGAACAAGACGAAAGAAAGAAAGAAAGAAAGAAAGAGACCAAGAGGAACAAGACGAAAGAAAGAAAGAAAGAAAGAAAGAAAGAAAGAAACCAAGAGAAACAAGATGAAAGAAAGAGACCAAGAGAAACAAGATGAAAGAAAAAGAAAGAGACCAAGAGAAACAAGACGAAAGAAAGAAAGAAAGAAAGAGACCAAGAGGAACAAGACGAAAGAAAGAAAGAAAGAAAGAAAGAAACCAAGAGAAACAAGATGAAAGAAAGAGACCAAGAGAAACAAGATGAAAGAAAAAAAAAGAGACCAAGAGAAACAAGACGAAAGAAAGAAAGAAAGAAAGAAAGAGACCAAGAGAAACAAGACGAAAGAAAGAAAGAAAGAAACCAAGAGAAACAAGACGAAAGAAAGAAAGAGACCAGGAGGAACAAGACAAAAAAAAAGGAACAAGACGAAAGAAAGAGGAACAAGTTGAAAGAAAGAAAGAAAAAAAGAAAGAAAGAAAGAAAGAGACGGCCCAAGAGAAACAAAGAAATAAGAAAGCAAGAAAATAAAGAGAGAATGAAATTTTATGAATAAATATGAGCTCGTGAAATTTGAACAGCATTGACGGAAAGATTGAGTTGATTAAAAGTGAAAGGAAAAAAAGATGGTGGAAATCGAAAATGGGAAAAACTAAAAATATCATTATCATTAAAATATGAGAAGTGATAAAGTTCATTAATAATAATGATGATGATAATAATAATAATAATAATATGGAATGATCATAGAAATATAAGATGATGTAAAGATCAATGGATATTAAGATGATGCTAGGATCATTAATGCAACCGCCACTTCTATTCTGGCAGCTTCGTTTCTCGCCTGTAGAACTCCTTTCCGACTTGTTTCCCTGTCCCCTACAGTCTTTAAAAATTTAAATGCAATGTCAATCGCCATCTTCTGTCTTCCTGAATTTTGTCCCTTTATTGTCCTTTCCTCACGTCCCACGTTCTCTTTCATTCTCTGTAAATTAATGACTGAATAAACTCCTTACGAGTTCCACGACTATAAAATACCCATGGAATTACCTATCATGTAGCATAGTTAAATATTTGAGCTTAACAACTGCAACCAAAATATAACAATAATAAATGTGAATTCTGGACATTATTTGGAGAAGTAAGATGGTGCAAATGAAAAGATTAAAAAATGACACTGTCTTCTTTTTTACGTTATCGCCTATTCTATCTTTCTTCCTTTTCTTTCTTTCTTTCTTTTTTTCTTTCTTTTGGGTATGCTTCATTTTTCTCTCTAAAACTAAAAAGGGTCTCTGAAATATCGTTTTCTTCTGTCTCTTCTCCAAATCAAAACGGAATAGTTCATTATTTATCTGACGCAATGGCAGGACATAACGCGCGTCAAAGGAAGAAGCATAATTATCGTATGATGAAAATATGAAATAATAAAAAATTTGTAATGATATCTATCAATGAAACAGAGGACAGGCATGTAGATTCATACCTTTTCCGAGGTTATTAGTGCTAAGTAAAAATAAGCATTATTGGTCGGAGAGTGCACCAGCCGAAACGTTGTGATAATAATAATAATAATAATAAAAAGTGGACAATAGTCTTCATGTAAATAATATCTCCTCATCCCAAAACTTTGGGCAGATTTTTATCAACTGATATCCTAGAAAAAAACCGCCTGCATACAGATAGAAAATGAATTGAGCAATTTTTTTTTTTTACTGTGAGGTTCACCCTGTACAAGTCCCGGAAGCCACTTGAGGTAGAGTGTTAAAGAGAAAGTCACATTTTATACGGATATGTCGAGAAGATAACGGTTAACACTAGACTGGAACAGGTTAAGATTGTAGTGATCGGGGAAACATCCTCTTGGGAGTCAGTTCCACAGAGCACCGGTTCGCTGGAAGAAGCTACTTAAATGGAAATTATTTCTCACCAATGGAATACAAAGGGAATGATGGTGGTTTGCAACAATGTATGTAGCCTGGCGGGTATTAGTCGTGATTAGATTAGAACATGTGGGACTAGGGAATGTAGTTTGTCTGAGCACTTTCCATGGAAATAGAGACAGGGCTGCGAGAGTCTTGCGACTTTTCGTCTGTGAGAAAGGGATTGTAGGGTGGAAAATCATTTGTCACCCGAAGGGACGTGGAGACGCTTTTGAACTCTATCGAGAGTGGAAAGTAAAGATTGAGCAGCTTCTGTCCAAATATGGCAGCAGTACTCCATTTTTGGCGTGATCTGGCTCTTGTAAAGGTAGACGACACCACGAGGAGTCAGGTACTTACTGGAGCGGTATAGTGAACCAACCATTTATCCAGCAGCTTCATATGTACGAGTTCCACAGCTGAGATGAAAACCCAATAGGCGGTCAATGCACAGGGACCTCCCTGAGAGGGGATCCATTCATCGAGATTGGTGATAGTAGATGTGAAGCTTTCGATAAAATAATGTGTGAATGGGATATGCTTTTCTTAAAAAAGGCAACGTAGAACACCTTTAAAACACCAACACACACACACACACACACACACATATATATATATATATATATATATATATATATATATATATATATATATATATAGGTTTGGTGCGTAATTATCAGGCGTTTTTTAAATAATATTTATAATGAAAAAAGAAATATAACAATTCAAAAGTTAGAGGATAGCAGGAGTCAGGTACTTACTGGAACGGTACAGTGAACCGACCATTTTTCCAGTATCTTTAGGGAGGTCATATGTACGAGCTCCAATTGTGCTCTGAGGTGAGATGAAGACCCAATTAGGTGACCAGGGCACGAGGGGCCTTCCTGAGAGAAGATCCATTCATCTGGATTGGTGAAAGGTCAGGATCCGATCGGCGATGAAATGCGGTGTAAAATAATGACGCATCTTCTGAACAGATTTATTCAGTGTACAGCAAGGTAATCATAAGTGAACTAGAAGTCCTACCAGGATTTATTACTGGCGAAAACAATTTTAACATAAGACGCATAGATGACATTGTGTTGATGGTAAACACAGAAAGAAAACTACAGGAAAGTATTAAAGGAAAGTGAGAAGAAAGGACTAGCGGTCAACGCTAAGAAGGCATAATATTGGGTTGGTGCATAATTATCAAGCGTTTTTAAACAATATTTGTTATGAAGAAAGAAATATAACAATTCAACAATAACATTTTAAATGATTATTCCGGAGCCTATGATTGACACGCATTTTTATAACCTGAAAATAAAATATTTTTTTAAAAAGTAAACAAAACAGCAATTTTTTATTAACAAATAACTCGCCCACAAAAACGCCTGATAATTATGCACCAATCAAATATATGGTCGTTAGCAAAAGGGACATCCCGTGACACGAGCAAATTGGAGACGTCGAAATCAAACTAGAGTAGAAATTTAATTATATGGGAAGTGTTTTAATAGACGGCGGAAAAATGTGATAGAGAGTAATAAGAAATAGGAAAGGGTACTGAACCACTTCATGATAGCAATGCTCCTCTGTGGCAGTGAATGCTGGACAATGTCTTCGCAGATGAAGAGAAGAATTGCGGTATCAGAGAAGGGGTTCGACCGAAAAAATGCTGAAAATATCTTGTACGGGACATGTATGTAATGTGGAAGATTTAAGCGAAATACGAACAAAAACAGGACATTTTTACTTAGAATCAGAAAGCGACAGTTGAAATTTCTGGAAAATATAATGAGGAAAGAGAATTTAACATTCACAGGACACATTAAAAGCAAGAGCAACAGATGAAAACAACGAGTAACGTGCATAACAAGTTTGTATAGATGGATGGTAGAACAGAGATTCGAAGGTATAAGCAAATATTGCGTAGAGCCACAAAGAATAGGAAATTGTGGAGAGTTATGATCGTCCACGTCCTGAAGGGATACATTACATAAAAGAAGAATCGTCGAAAGTTTGTGTTGCTTCAATATTTAAACTGACCAGACATCACGACTTGGGTCACTTTCTCACCGATGTGACGTGGCTTCCTTCTGTCTTTTCTACAAATATTTTCATGACAATTGTTCTGATGAGCTGTTCTCCTTAGTGCCTCGGTGCATGGATTCTGGCGTGCTACTTGATTGGCAATTAGGTCTCACCGTTTTACTCTTGGAATAGCTGGATGCAACCGCCAATCCTACTCTGTTAGTTTCTTTTTTTCTCGCATTTCTCACCTGTGGAACTCCCTTCCAACTTTTTGTTTCCCTGATAACTAAAAACTTCAAAAATGTAAATGCAACGTCAATCGCCATTTTCTGCATTCCTGGATTCTGTTCTTTTATTGTCCTTTCCACACTCTCCTTCCACCACCATCACTTAAGTTTTCTCATTCTCTTTCACTCCCTATAACCTTTCCGACCTAGTGGCATTATCAACATGCTTGGGATGAAATGATTTATTTTTTAAAAATCTAATGAAAATCTTCTTGTAGAAGTCAAATGACTTACCTGCTAACATGGCTGCCTTCTTGTATCTGCTTGGAATTTTGCTGGAATGGACCTGCCCAACACATCTGTATGAATGGACTCTATTCACCCATATATCCTTCTCCATTAAACGACTCAGGGCTGCATTTTAGCTTGAAGTGACTACACCAGTCTATTTGTGTGTCAGACCACTTGCAAGCCAACCAATATTCTACACTTCCCAGCTTAAAAGACATCTTGATCTGGGCTCGATCCCAAACATTAGGAAGATACCTAACAACCTGAACTGTCAAGAAGTCTACATTCATTGATCATTGATCCTAAATTCATTCGCTTTATTTTTAAGCCAGAATAAAGCAAATGAATTTAGGATAATAATAAAAACAAAAAAGAGACCGTTTTGGCCATTGTACACTCCTGCCTTCTTCAGGTGGTTGGAATGTCGAACTGAACCCTTTATTTCGCTCACTGGGGTAGACTGTTCTAGTTCCACGTGCCATGTTTAATGGATCTCAACTTTTATCCACTCAAGGACATATGGCACAGTGGATAAAGGCGTTAGTTAGATCCAGTCACAGGACCCAAAGAGTGTGAGTTCAATACCCGATTAAGGCAGTGGAGAACTTGGAGAGGGGAATTAAAAGGAGATAATTGATAACTGACATCCATTAAATATAGACAGATACTGAAAGGCCGAAACGTTGTAATAAATATGGCGACAAAGATGAGGACAATAGTCCGAATAATGTAAATAATGTACATAATACCTCATCTCAGAAATATAGACAGATACTGAAAGGCCGAAACGTTGTAATAAATATGGCGACAAAGATGAGGACAATAGTCCGAATAATGTAAATAATGTACATAATACCTCATCTCAGAAATATAGAGAGATACTGAAGAAGGCCGGAGCGTACAACAGCTGAAACGTTGTAATAAATATGGCGACAAAGATGAGAATAATAGTCCGAATAATGTAAATAATGTAAAGAAAAAAAAGAGAGAGACTACATTTATAATGTGAGATAGAAAATGAAATCGGAAGAATGAATCAGTAGACATAATATAATTGAGTAGACGGAGTTAAATATTCTACTGTCGTCTCTTAACCTGTTGGACATCCCGTGGAACAATCCATCTACAATG